GCAGCTCAAGAGTGAAAAATATCCGTAGTACAAAGGAAAGGGAAAAAGTCACACGAACTGTCAGCTAAGCTGATTTTACCTCCCCTAACCTTCTCAATGTTTTCATTTGTACCAGGCCTTGTCGCTGGATCGAAGCAAGCCAAACCAAGTACAACATCTTTGTAACTTTTATCTCTGTAAACCCAGTGAGATTCAAGCCTTGTGTTCTTTTATTTTTAAGTGCCAAAACTCTCACCAGTGCTCATCTCTGGCCCTCTCTTTCTGGAGGACACTAATGATATGATTACTGCCTTGATAAAGTGGTCTCGTATATGCAAAGAGCCTGTTCTGAGAACAGTATTCATCAATTTAGCAATATGCTTACAGTTAATGTCAGACTTTCTTGAGTTATGGCTAATAAACATAGCTTCTACTGATGATCCTATCAGCCTTAAGACAAGAAACAGTCATAGCATGCCACTTACTGCTTTTAGTTGGGACAGAGTTAATTTTCTTCAGAGTAGCTAGCATGAAGCCATGTTCTGGATGTGTATTGAGAAGAATATTGATAACTTATGTTCTGAAGTTGTTGCTAAGGAATACTTATACCAAGTCAGTGACTTCTTCAGTTTCTGGCGCTAAGCCTGTGTCCCCAGCTTTTTCACTACAAGAACCCGGGAAGGGACACAGTCTGGACAGCTGACCCAAACAGACCAAAGGAATATTTAATTCCATAAAACATCATGCTCAGTATGTAAGTTGGGGGTGTGATCTGGGGGCCATGTTGTTTGTCTCTCTCATTCACTCTTGTTCTCTCTCAGTTGCTATTGCCTTCACTGGGGTTTGCTCTGACTCTGGTTTGACCTCTCAGGCTCTCTGGTTCCTCAGGACCCGGCTGAGCATCAGCCAGCAGGTGGTGAACAATTGTATCATTTGTTTTATTTTCATTACATATTATTGTTATTAGTGGTAGTATTATTTTCATTACCTATTATAAGTAGTAATATTAGTATTATTAGTACTACTGGTATTGTTAGCATTATCAGTATCACTATTTTATTTCCTTTATTTTCAATTATTAAATTTTTCTTCTCTCAACCCATGAATTTCCTTGTCTTTTCCTCCAATTCTGCTCCTCCACTGGAGGAAGGGCCGGGGGGGGGGGGGGGGAAAGGGGGGGGGGTGGGAGGTAAATGAGCGGCTGCGTGTTATTTGGTTGCTGGCTGGGATTAAACCATGACAAGCAGACAGAGTCATCTTTCTCCAAGGAAAGCTTCCTTTAGCCTACATCCCTTCCCAGTTATTTTGACCCTCACTTGTGCAGCAAGGAGCACAATTAGCTTTAATTAAAGCAAGGTCATTTGTTCCAGCAAGAAGAGTAGAAGAAAATATTCAAATAGATAACATCATCCTCCTCTTCACTCCTATTTCACATGACTGCTTTTGTTACCCTTGTGTCCCCAAAAGCTTATGGAAAGCAGCAGGAAACAGAGTGGACAGACACAGAATCAATCTCTCCCACTCCTGCATGCAAGACAGACTAATTTTATAATCATGGGTACTTAGTTTCCGCAGTTCAAAAACTAGACGCTTACATTTTTTATTTTCACCTCCTATGATGCCTAACTTGCAAGTTTCTCCCTTAAAAGGTACTAAAAACTTGTTTTGAGAAGCAAAGCACTGGTTTAGTCACCCCAAGAAGAACAAGCAATACTGTTTCAGCTTCGTAACACCAATAAATCTCAGGACTTGACAAGAGCAGTTTACTGTTGCTGAAAGCAGGCCTTTTAAATGGTACCAAAAACCCAACCTCCTCCTCAGAGAAGAGAATCATTATGAGTTTATTTTTCCCCACATTTAGGAAAGATAGGATCTACTTGCCCTGTAAAGACACAGCCTTGACATTTATCCGTGCACAGCTTCTTGACTTCAGTAATAGCAGGTCACACACCTACAGCTGCACGTGAGCTACCTTTCAGACAGCTGCCTTTCCAGCCACCTAAACTTGTGCGCTGAGCCGCGGTAACCACACATATGCCCATCTTCAACGCACAACACGGCGCCTACCCAGCCTTTCCCTGGGATAGCTTCACTGCAGTAAGACCCAGCCTGTGTCCTAAGCTTAAGGCTTTCACGAACTTATTCCTGTCACCTTAAAGTGCAACCCCATGAGCCTATCACATACTGAATACAGAGGATTCCTGGACATATCGCTTGGTAATGAAACTGCTGAAAATACAGTTGAATTTCCTCCCCAATGTATTTTTGTTTTACAATAGTTGGTTTGAACTTCCAACTACGTTGTGCTGTAAAACTGAAAATTTGATTCTAAAAATGGCAGAAAGCCATTACAAGAATAAAAAATATTCAGTAAATCCTCTTTGTCCTTGATGTCACCAACTCCTGCTCACGACAGGAACTAAGTAGCTTTCACAATGGTTTACATCCAGGTGGCTCATTTCAAACAGGAAGACCAGATTAAAATTTTGGCATCTCACCCGAAGGCCGTCACTCTCTCTCAGCCGAGTCTGGCATAAGCAGCTGCAGAAGTTGCCCTCCTGCACCTCCCAAGTCAAAGCTTGGCTTTCTGAGAAGGAAGGAGAGATGGGACAGCCAGCTATTGACAGAGGGTAGCACCTGCTGTGAAGGGAGCATGTGCCCTGCGGCAACCACAACATGTTGAGTAAAGCAGCTGCAACATCAATTACCAGGGTTAAGCTGTGAGCAAGTGCAGAAGGTTGCATTTAGCTGCTTGGGCAGCATTTATCCTTTGAACAGCCCTTCCCCACCTCAAGTAAGCCTAAGGAAACTGCCTGAAAAGTAAGATGTATTAGGGTCCAATCAGGGCCACAATGAAAAGCCTTCAAAATCTCCTACATATAATAAACGTAATACGCAGTTGCCACTCTTCCTTCCTCTATCCTATCCAATTGAATAAATTTGCATGCTTGTAGATGGGTTAACAGTTACATTCCATCCGTAGCATTACAGAATCACATAAAATACCTTAAATCAATTCTGATTACTGAAGAGTTCCACTGACAGGAACAGTGAACAAACAGTAGCTTATTAAGCACAGTGTATGTGAAGAGTGTTCGGGGAGAAGCTGAACATGCTTGCAGGAGTTAAGACTGCCCAACATTTTTCCAGTTAAAATCTAATGAAAAACAAGGCCTGCCAAAATTCAATCAGCTCTCTTCATTTTTTCATGTCACATTCAGTTTAATTTTCTCCCCTAATATAACGTGTAAGGCTTTTGCCATTTAACCAAATAACATCCAGAAAACCTGAATGCTGTTTGCATCAAAACCAGGGACTGATGGTTTTGAATTTGTATTTACCTATTCTGTGCCAAAGAACCACTTTTCTTGGGGACTATGCTACAGAAACACATTAAAAAACAGCTTGTTTTTTCCCTTCTTGAATATTTGGGCTGTTTAATTTGCCCCAAATTTAAGCTGCTCTTTGCATGCTTGAAGAAATCTTTGTACAGTCTGAGAGAAGGTCCTCTGTAATTAATGCATATGACTACTACAGGCAAAACGGAGATTAACAGCAAAAGACTAATAGCAAAAACAGAGCAGGAGGGATTATGCTAAATCGCTCAAGTGCTTCCTAGTCTTGATAGCATTTGAACAGCACAGAAGTAAGGGGGGAAAAAGCGTCATCCAATTTGAAGAAAAGCGGACAACAGTGACTAGTATCAGGGCAGGCTTACAGAAGAAGAATTTAACCTGTAGAGTACAAGGCCAAGAATTGCCTGGAAGGCCATCCAAAAATGCTAAGTTGCAAAAGTCATCTCACGTCACTGACACCTACGGTCCTTCTGTGAGTTTCTTTCTGCTCTGCTTCACACACTGAGCAACGAGCAAGAGCAGTGAGGTACTCCCCAAAGGAGCAATTCCCCACCCCTGTGGAGTGAACCTATACCTTCCAAACCTACACAGTCGAAGTTACATTCCATAAATGATGTTACATAACTTAACTACAACATTCCTCAGCATTTGTCTTCCTCTTTTCAAAAAGTTCATATTGATCTTTATTTTTTTTTAAACTCTTGGAAACATAGCTGAGTTGCAGAAGAAGAAAATGCACCCCCTCTACTCGTGTCTCCTATTGCCTTAACTCTAGCAATGCCGTGCACAAAAGCTGTCTTACTAGTCCTTCCATGATTTCAGCAAGAGCCATAACCTAGGTAAGTTTACTTTGCAACTCTCTCCATAATTAGTAGTTCTGTCCTACAAAAACACCCTCTTGCAAGAGTCGATTGTTTTGACCATACTTTAATTGAATTCCCATCTTTGGGCTGCCAAGGATGTTAATTTCTAACAAGAGTTGTAGTGTTCTTTCTTCATTGAGCCAACGGCCAGGGACTGGACTTAGGCCCAGACTCCCAAAGTTATTTTAACACCTCCAATCCTTCTACTGAAAAGGACGTGAGAATTTAGTCCCCATGTCCAAAGAGGAATTTATGAAACTGAAAATAAGCAGCTTTCATTCACCGCCAGTTAAAATACAAATTTTTAATTCCAGACTACTGATAGCTCATCCAAAGGTCGCATTGACAAAAAACCCAATGTTTGGTTTAGCTCCATTCTACTGTGCCAGAAATGAGAAGCACGTCTCCTTAAAAACATGGAAAATTATTACAGCAGGCTCAGCTGCTGATCACTTCTTCTCATAACTTTTTTTCTGAGTTGTAATATTTTCAGAAGTTCCTGAGGACTATTTCCTTCCATATAGAGTGCTTAATACCATATTATGATTCCCTGAAATTTCCTGAAAGAGTTTAAGCAGCACTTAAACCCACATCACAGGTTCTATAAGTTTGGACGCTGACATCTGGGAAGCGCTGAGGTTGTGTGGAATACTGCCGCTGGCAAAAATAATTCTGTTGCTTGATCACAGCACTTCTGTACCTGGCTACCCTTTCATTTTCCAATTGTGTTTTACAATTTCACTGCTCAAATACAGATTCGCGCTATTTGTAACAGAAGGGATGATTTATGTGCATGATTTACCTCTACCCCAACATAGAGCAAATAGACAATGTGCCAGTGCTGTGAAGGGAGGCGTGTTCTTACCATACAGTTCATGGCAAAGTGACTGTGCTGTGTCTGAAGCTCCATCGCGTGAGGGTGACTGGTTCCAATCTCCGTGTAGCTGTTCAGAAACAGACCTTTGTTGTGTGTGATCCAGTCAAACATCTACAAGAAAATGTTAAGGAAAAAAAAAATTTTTTAAAAAATCACAGGTTTGTTATGGCAGAAATCAGAGACAAGTAACATGAGAAATCTGTGAACACAGAAGACAGAGTGTACAGCCATGAAAATTAACACTGATGCTCTTTCTACTTTAAGTCACCGTACATTTTAACAAAATCATTGCCGAAATCTGACTTTTTGGACCAAGTAGCTGAGGCTGTTAGATCTTTACTACAGGTGTTTATCTCAACAAGCTACAGTTAAGTCATAATCATAAAGTCATAAACCTCATTACTACAAAGAAGTCATAGTAAACAAACAGGCTTGGAGCACAGCCCTGAGTTTCCAAGCATTTACATTCTCTAGTGTCAGTACTTTTTGATGTTAGCAGCTTAGTAATTTAGAATGAAAATGACAACTCATGGAAATTAAATGTAAATTCATTCTTGCTGATCAAGTACTTCAGCAGCAAGTTCAATGTTTTTAGTTCATAACTTTACAGTAGATTTGAAAACAACTTTTCTATTGCTAAACAATTTTAAAAGACTATACCTGAGTACAGAGTTACATACTACCTTCTTCCTGAGAAGTTGAAGATAACACAACCAGCATATTTAACGGTTATTTTTTAAATACTTTAATATTCAAACAAATTTTAGGAAAGATCTCATCTGACAATGACCATCGATGGAGGTACATAAGTATGTTAACAGTGGCGTTTGAGGACAAAGTTTTCAAAGACCAAGCAACACAGCAAAGAGCTGTTCAACACACACCTTCCCAGTGGTTTGAAATCTTTGCTATATCTCAGCTCAAAAGACCCACCTACTCCCTGGAGTAGCTGAAAAAGATTGTTCAGAAAAAACGGTAGCAGCAAGCAAGCAAGTACTCATTTAAAGACCTTTCAAAATATGCTGGCTAACTAGAGCAATATTATCAAATCCGTTATTCCAGCCAGGTACATGACAAATCAGATTATGAAGTAGACCACAACATGGTAAGAACCATAAACAATTAAAAAATGTTTAGAGCTTAGATAACAAAGACAGCTGATTACTTACTCAGTTTCTTATTTAGACTACAGTGAATATGCATTAGAACATTATTCAAAATAAACACTGGTGCTGGTTGTGACCACCTTTCCTAGGTAGTCTGACCTTGCTGCCTTCACATTCCCTCCCACCTGACCCCTATTTTGCCTGCTCTTCTCCTGAACCAGCCCAGATTTCTTGTGCAGAGTTGTGCAAGTCCTCCAAAATGAACATTTACTCCTTCACATCCAATATACTTTGTTTTTCCAACACAGATCCAGCCCTTTCGTGCACCCAACTAAACCACATAGACAGAAGCTCTGAGCTACAAAATCTAATCTGACACAAGCAGTGAAATAAGTGATTTAAGTAGCATAAGAAAAGGGCCTTAATCCAAAAGTGAGTTGGGACACTACACAAACCTTCTTTTTGACTTTTTCTACTAGCTGATGAGAGAATAAAGTCCCAGGTACACTAGCTTCTGTCAACCCCATTTGGAGGTGCCTAACATTTCCCTCTATTTTGAAAGAAAGATGCTGTAACTAGTGTAGGCTTATTCTTGGAATTGGGAACCTAGAAAACACAGATAGGATTTTATGCAACCACATGACAGGACTGAGATCAATCCCTCAGGCTCAATTACTTCACAAGGAGTTTCTTAAAGCCCAAGTTACGTAGGCAAATTTTAGATGAGTAAATGAAGAACATATCTTGCAATAACACGTGAGCATCAAAATGTATTTTGCTCATGCTGTAATAAAGAGTAATTAATGATGTAATTAAGTAGATGAAAGGTTGCTAAAAACCATTTCAGGCCTGATAGAGCAGTGTTAGACAAACAGCTTGTTATTTTCTCAATAATTTTATAACTCTGAATTCACTTATCAGATTTTTTTTCAACCCTTTACATGCCCCTACTATGTTTTAAACACAGCAGAAAACATTAAGAGTAGTGTAAATAAAGTCGCTGAACTGAAATGATCAGGGTAAGGGAAAGTACAGGGAGAAGAAAACAGAGGAAGACAAGGAAGGAGAAGTATTATGTATGTTTGCTCTGTTTTCACTCTTCCCCATGCATCTGCTTATGACCACTGCTGGCAAGCAGGATACTGGTTTAATACAGACTTTTGGTCTCACCCAGTTGAGGCGTTCTTACATAAATTCTTTTAAGAAATCTGACAAAGACCATACTTACCACTTGACTGCACAGTGTACTTACTTCTTCTCACAGAGAAAAAATCCCCACCCTTCCTTAAAGTTATTTGTTCCATGGTAACAAGTTAATAATAAATGATTGCAAAACCATTCTATATGAAAACAGAATTTGTTTGAGCTCATCTAGAAGTGCACACCTGCTGTATTTCCTTTTCAAATTCCATGACAATGAAGGGCTTTCTCATTTGAGCAGATCGGTTAGCACGAAACATTCAGAGATCACCCAGTCCCCCTGTTCATGACATATGCACTATGCATCAGGTTTAAGTCTGGGACTTTAAATCCTGCACCACTAAAGCATGCCCCACATCAGCTTCTTCAGACTTTGTTGACTGCCTGTAGTCAAATCCCAAGGGTAACTCAGAAAGAAACCAATGTAGTCCTTAGTCACCTGTATTGATAAAGCATACAGCCTCTATCTTCACCTGATGCATGCAAAAGCATCTGTCTGGAATGAAAACTTACCAAGGCAAAAGCTGTAAAGTCACTACCACTTAGATTTTTCTTCAGTGAGAACTTCCTATATTCTTTACGGCTTAGAATTACTGCCCTATCCTCTTTACTCCAGAAGATTGAGTCACTCTCAGTGAAGAAATCCTTTATTTCTCATTAAAAGGCTAGTGATTACCTCTAAAGACAAAAATTACTATTTGCAGTTATCCTTGATAGTTCTTTCAAGCCCACCAAGCTTTGTTCCCATCAACAGCAGCACGCATTTATACTCCCTCCCCCCTTGCAAACCTTTACCTTTTCAGCATCCTGCTCAAACAGCCTGAGCTGAAAACATTGGTCCAATTTCAATTTCCGCACATGCCACATCTGATGCAGATGCTGCCGTGTTGAGTGCAGCCGGTCCAGCATGGTGGATACTTTGGGTAAAAGGTTCTGTAAGTCTGCATTCCCTGACCCAGAGTTCTTTTTGGGGAAGCTATCACTGCTCTGTATCCGCTGGAGCAGCTTTTGTCCTTCCACATCAAGGTCCTCGATGGGGGCCTTAATGACTTTCTTTTTTAATTGTGAATGTTCCTCTATCATATTGCGAGCACCTTCCAGGTCCTGAGGCATTTCCTTTTTTGACAGTATATCTTGCAGTTCCTCCAGTCTGGACAGCATATGGGTTGCATTGCTAATGTAGTCCTCAAAGGCAACTCTGATTTCTATCCACTCCTCATGGTTGTACTCCAAACAGCCATCAAATTCTGGGGTTAGCTGAGAAGGATCAACTACTTTGGTAAGGCCTTCCAGAGACACCATATTTGTCTGAAACATAAAAATGAACATAAAAAAATGCTGTTACTGAAATGAACTTGAAATATTCTTTCAAGTTTTCGCTTTTCTCTTTTTAAGAATTGATAATTTTGCTCATGAAGTCCACGTGACTTAACTTTTCTCATACACTTCAGATATCAGTTCTGATCAGTCTCCTGTCTTGCAGGTATTTCCCCAAGTGAGAGAAATAAAATATTCCTTTCTTACCTCACTACACTTAAGAAGAAAACAGCAACCTGACTATTATTTTGATTAAGTTTTGACTTTGTGTATTGTAAAGCAGCAGGAGGGTAACAGCAAGGTTCAGTTGGCTGCCTTCCTCTGCACAGGGTGCTCGTGATAATCATTACCACAATGCAGACCAAGACAACAAACAGACAAAACTTAACTTTTTACCATTTACCATTTTACCAAAACCCTAACCCCGTCTTTCTCACGCTCAGAAAAAGAATATAAATGACAACATGCACAACTACCTAGCCTACGTACATGAAGGGAACCACATTCTGTCCAGCACCACTGGCCTAATGTACCCCCCTCCTCTCATCTAGAACATCATTTATCTGTGAGTTTTCAAGATACCATGAAATAAATGTAAATTTGCATACCACAGGGGAAATTACCTCAAACTCAAACTTAGAGCTGCCAAAGTTAGTCCTCTGTTTCTGCCAGAAATTGTCTGGCTTGATTATCAGTGCAACATGAATACAACATGGAAAGGATTCCTGTAAAATCTTCAGCAGAGGCTTTATGGAGTCCCATTTTGACCCACGCATATCTACAATGACGGTGAATCCTCGTTTACATACTTCCTCACTGCAGAAGAGAAAAGAAAAGGTTATCAAGCAAGCGTTACAACTTCAAACACAGCACCCTACTGCACCACGCTGCCTAACGAACGTTGGTCTCCTCAGCTAACTGTCACACCCTAGGGTCTCACTCTTGACTAGATGACACGTACATCGCACATGAACACCTCGGAAAGCTTCTCTCAAGCCCCTGCCAAACTCCTTGTGGGTGACAACTTTATGCCTGATGCCAGTTTGATGATCTGCCTTTATCTCCCCTTTAATTTTCATTGTTTATATTCATGACGGTTCACCTTCCAGTCTTGTTTCTCCTTCACCTCACGAACACATTCAACACACATATTGCTGCTTCAGTAAATGGTAATTCATTTACAACTGACTCTTCAGAACACGCTCACACACCTCACCAATGACAACATACATGCCTTTCTCATGACTGAGGGGATCCTGTAAAAGACAGAAGATGGCACGCTCTTCTTCCCTACAACTTCTGCAACTGCCTCAGATCTAGGCCCATATTACATGGGAGATAAAGAGTGTTAGTCGGTAAAGGACAAAACAAAACCCTTTATTGACAATTTCTTCTGTTACAAGATTGATTTGCGGATAGTTAATGGATAGGAAAGCATTTTGTGGCTGTGAAGAAAACCGCATCAACCCGTTCCTACAAAATTTGAGCTCAATTTTGCCGTCCAAAAGTTGACAGACCTTACACCCAAATTCCCCAGCAACTCTTCTGAGAATGGCAGATTTAATTTGTTTTCATCAATACCTTTTGTACACTTAGTGCTTGCAACTAACCAAAAGCAGCAATCACCACCAACACCAGGAATTGTGATTTTCTTCCGATAGAATTTGCTACTTGACCTTGATAACATGAAAAGGGAAAATATTTCAAAACCACAGCATCATAGCCAATGGACAATAAAAGAGACCAAATGTCCATTGTCTGAGTACATGAGTCACTTTCAGGGATGTGACTAATACAAATGCAATTCTGGTGTTCATGTGGTGAGGTTTTCAGAGTGTCCAAGAAGTAGGGACGCTTCACTGGCACATTTTACTCAGACTCATCAGTTACACTGTAGAAAGGTGAGTTATTACTGGCACAGGGGAGTAGAAGAGCTTCTGAACAAATGGTAACACAGGTTCCTTAGAAGAGGAGAACTTTTTAAAGTTGGCTTAACAAGAAAAAAAGCCCACAAAACACACACCATTTTAAAAAGAAGTTTATCAAGATAAATGCTGGCTGTCCCACCTGCCCATAGGAATGCCAAAATTGGCAATGGTAGCAGGAAAATACACTGAAATTGATAGCTTGGAATACATGTAGGCTACAACATGAAATTTCCTGACCATGGTGAAAACGTTTTCTAACAGCCTCAAAGAATTAATGAAAAAACAACCACCATTTTAAAGACACACCCACTACTGAAAGGCTGCGTACTGTCACACGAGTGGGCTCAGCCCACCCCATCCTACCACACAAACTGACCATTGTGTGCGGAGGAGCACTTGCCACTAATTCCCACGAGGCATACATCTACTGGGGTGTACGTAGCAACCCCTCATCATGTGGTACAAGGCAGAATGTGTCCTCCACTCATGTGGCCCATCATCTGACAAAGGATTAATCCCTTTCGGCCAAGGACCACAAAAACTGTTCTGGGAGGCTTTAGTCAGCCAAGGTCATCTGTTAGGTAAACCTAAACTACGCTAACACCTGATCCAGTCAGCACTGATGACTGAAACTTAGTACCATTTTTAAATCAAATAGAACGTGAAATTCCTAAAATTGTGGGACTGAACCACCTTAAAGGTTTAGATCTCTTGCCAAACAACTAATACTGCTGATTCTTCAACTACCTCTAGTAACAGTACTACAATAACTAATCAACAGACCAACTGTTTGGGGCTATTTGCACCAATTCAGACTTCTTAACTAGCAGGAGTTGTGCAACCAATCCCCAAAACATGACTTCCATGAAAGTGAGTCTTGCTTTTAATAAAGTTTCCTTTATTCTCAAAGCTTTGCTATGCTTGCAGAGACACAGACTCTTTTTATTTTACATCTATCGATGCTAAACTAACATACACCTTTTGTAGAGGACCACTGTATTTTGCCAGATTAGCTCTAGAAGAATCCCTTGGGCATATTTTGATGCATATTTATTTATTAACTTCTCTAGTAACATGAAGCTGTAGAGGGGCTAGAATACATGTCAAACATTCAATGTGAAGTTGAATTATTTCAGAGGTCAAAATTTCGAGACTTCTTCCCCTCTTCCTTCGTCTTTCTCCCCAAAATACCCCGGTTAAACAACCACCAAAAAAAAAAAAAAAAGCCCAAATCACTAGACTTTCCTACACTTTAAAGTGAAATAAAGACCAGAATAATTGTATTACCAACAACTGCTCTTAAGAAAGGTCATACACACTCTTAAATAGATGTCTTGAAGTTATCTTCATGAAAGCACTTTTGTCAGTCTGAAACCGACATCTGATTACATCAGACACAAATAAGAGTGCCTACAAATACACACATTACAGAGATATAGAAGATTTTGCATTCAGGGATGCTCTACAAGGATTTTTTTCAGCTATAATGACAACTACTCCTTGAGGTCATAAGGAAACATATTCAAGCAATCAGATTGGTCTAGTCTGCACCAAACATTGCCAGATTTTGAGATTGACTTAAAATCAAGTTTGTAAGATTCATTTTGTCCCCAATTCAGTTACTACGGGGAAAAGCGTTTTATGTGAACAAACGTTTTATATACATATTTACATATATACAAACACACAAGGTGTGGATTTGACTTCTGCCAATTTATTTCAACAGCATATTACAATTCATAGCTTAAATTGTTGATAACACAATGATATCAACATGTTCACACACCTCACCTGACAACCTGTATGACCAATTTTACATAACTTTCCTGGTTATTCCTGTGCTATATCAGGACACTGTAACTTATCTAACACAAACAGCAGTTAGGAGTGTTATGCTGACCTCAGTCCACACAAGGCATACTGTAAATGATGACCAGCACATTTCTGATTATTGATGTACTGAAAGCCTTTGAGTTTTATTTGCAATCTTCAATGCAGTGACAGCAATATGGCATGGTAGTGCCATTTCCAAGACAAATTACTTACAGCTAAAGCACACCAGCCGTTCTGCCAACAGCCTTCCTTCTACAAGGCAGAGTAATTATCTAGGTCTTTAAAAAAAAAAAAAAAGGCAGTCTGAAAACAGTAACTGACATAATTTGGTATGAATTCGCTCATTTTCTTAACTGGCTAGCTACTTTGTCTTCTAGCTTGTGGATGTACTGCAACATAATCCATTTATTTTGTTTTCTAGCTTTAGAGCTTATCAAGTGACCATCACTTACCTAGGAATACACGCTAGGTATGAAATTAGTCTTCTAAGGTCTTCTTGCCGTATTCTATCATGGTTACTACGAGCTGGAAATGTTAGAATGGGACCTCCACGCTTATCTCTGCCACCTGAAAAATTTGGGAAAAAAAAGAAGTTAAAGAAACCCACAGCATAACACCATTTTGGTTTGCAAAGCTAGCCTTCAGAATGCTTTTGGAAAAACCTAAGTCGTACACCATTTCATGAGTATCTACTTAAAAGAAAAGAAGTGATTTCAAGTTAAATGTCAACACTGTCATTTACAGACCAGTTTAAAATTTAATTTTGGGAGTATCAATAAGTGTATTGTCACAATTCCTACAATGACGAGGTATCTGTCTAAAAAAAAAAAAAAAGAATCAAAGAATAACCATAGCATTACACTTACACATTTCAGTCACATTCAAGTTTGACTGGCAGTGTGACATTTCTAGCAACAGTGTTTTGTTATATATTCAACTTTTTGATCAGAAACTGTATAGATTAAACTTAAATATAGAAGTTATGCTACTTTATAGGCAAGTATTTAGAGGATACTCAGCATTAACTTTATTACCAGTACAGCAGCACAGAGTTTTGGTGTTTTACACATCCAGGATGAGTGAGTGGATACTATTTAAGCATTTAATTTCTATTTTTACCCCATTTTGATGTGCAGATTCTGAATTGTCATATGATAGATTTTAATTGTTAGCAATGCAAAACAAGGAAATTCTGAATGCACTATGTAGGCCAAAAATCTGACTTTGAGTGGTTCCACTTAAATGCATTCATCTTACTCATTAAATTGCATGGACTTAGTGTAGTTGAACATTAAAATGTAATTTTATATCCAACCCTTGCTAGTGACAACAAAATCACTAGCATGCTAAACGCTAAATTCAAATCAGCAAGTTGCATTTATCAACACTTGTATAACAGCAGCCACATTCCTACAAGCTAAATTTCACATATATGTTTTCTACCACACGTCTGGACTGTTTTCTCCTGTCCCACTGAAACACAGAAAAACAGTATCCTCTGTCCTGAAAGATTTCATACAATCATAGAATGGTTGGGGTTGGAAGGGACCTTAAAGACCATCTAGTCCCAACCCCCCTGCCATGGGCAGGGACACCTTCCACTAGACCAGGTTGTTCAAAGCCTCATCCAGCCTGGCCTTGAACACTTCCAGGGATGGGGCATCCACAGCGTCTCTTGGCAACCTGTTCCAGTGACTCACCACCCTCTCCAGGAAGAACTTCTTCCTGATATCTAATCTAAACCTCCCCACTTTCAATTTAACCCCGTTACCCCTTGTCCTGTCACTACAGGCCCTTGTAAAAAGTCCCCCCACCCCAGCTTCCTTGTAGCCCCTTCAGGTACTGGAAGGCTGCAATAAGGTCTCCCCGGAGCGTTCTCTTCTCCAGGCTGAACAAGTCCAACTCTCTCAGCCTGTCCCCATAGCAGAGGTGTTCCAGCCCTCTGAGCATCTTCGTGGCCTCCTCTGGACTCACTCCAACTGGTCTATATCCTTCCTATTTCTCGTTATAAGTCAGCTCCTCATTGTAAATTTACTGAACGAAGTTTTAAAAAATCCCTTAGAAAGGAAGGCCAAAAGCAAACTAATAAAGCCAGTCGCTCAAAAATTTATCACTACCCTTCCCACCACAGTCTGCGTGTGCTTCCTAGAGACACTAAGTTGAGCTGTCAAGGTCTCCAGGGACTTGTCTGCACTGGACATGTTCCCATGAGGCACCAGATGAAACTCAGAAAAGGCAAAAATACCTCTGAGTTTCTGTCAAGATGCAATGCTAGAAACAAAAGGAGATTCATGTTCTTATATTCCATGACCCTCTTAAGTGGGACATGAGATTAAAAACTGACTTGTCTCATTCTAATGGAGAGAGGCGAGTCTGGTCTTGACCATCCTGTGAGAGCTTTGATGATTTTTACATAGCAAGTAGCAGCATAAAAACAAGACAGAAGTCCTAAGAGAGAGGGAGGATAAGCAACAAGACTGGGAGTCCAACAGCCAAAGGCTTCCACTCAGCTCCAAAGTGATCACTGGGCTCCAAAACTACTTACTTAGCTGTAAGTCTGCTGCAGCCCTTAATGCTCCCTTCAGCTACCAGATCTAAAACCAACAAATGTAGGTTTCATCTAGCAAACACTACTAATTCCTACCCTCAGAAAAAGTGCTCAGGGTACAAATTATTTTTTCCAAAAGCAGCAGCTAGCGGAGATGAGCATATCCTGAATTGCCTTTAACACTCTCCAAGCATTTTCAACAAATGCCTCGTTACACACCATCACCTCAGGTCAGTCCTCCATGTCTTTTCCACACAGCGACTCCTGTGTCATGCAATTTTCCAACATGGCAGAGGAAAGAAACCCGTATGCTTTATGTCATTTTGGATGCCACTTCAGTTGCCTCCCAGCTCCATATACACCACAGAGAGAAAACCCATTTTTAAAGTAGGGTGCTTACATGTCTTATAAATCATAACCTGAAATTTTTTATGTTGGAGAGAAATCTTGTCATGCAAATGTCAGGTACAGATGAGTATTAAAGACATGCACACAACCCTGATTTTGGTGAAAAGAATTTCAACATCCAGCTGTAAACCAGATACCAAAATTGTAAACCCATGAAGTGTCGCAAAAACTTACTACCTTCATCAGCTATACTGAATGATTTTTAAGCCTTTTCCAATAAATAATTCATTTCCTTTGTTCCCGATGCTCCTGTGTCACACACAAACAGGAATGTTAAAAGCTACAACATATGAGACATCAGGTGGGAATTTCCTGTCTCACAATATTGTCTATTCAACTCAACCCCCTATTTGTCTTGGTTTAACAAAAACATATTAAGCTACTATCATCGCTGAGGCTTCCGTTTTTACCCCTTTCGTTTTATACGAAACCCCTACACAACTGAAGTATTCTGTCTTTGTTTATGCCACGATGTGTCATACGAGCAGCTGATCAACTGACATGAGTCACTCAACATGAATCACTTCTGTCTAGTGCACATCACTAACTGCAGCCTTGTCAATGGTCTCCAAATGACACCAAAATCCAGCAGGCTGAGCAGTGCAGGGTTTTTCCAGGAAATGCCTTTTTATCTAGTCTCAAAGTACTTAGGTAAAGGTAAAAAGTGGGCTTTTACAGCACGTTTGAAAAGTGGGATAAGTTATCAAGTGCCCTTTCTCATGTGAAGCCAAGGTAGTTGCACCCTGTGAGAAAACGCTTCTCTTCGCTGAAGCGTGTGTGGAGATGTACATGTACCTGTACTTCAACAGGCTTCAGTTTAAACCTGAACCAAAGAATTGCATCCCAGGCTCCATCCACACTTCATGGTTACAACTCTACAAGGCTTTTCTATTTCAGGTAGTTAGACACACAATACTGCAGCAGATTATATCCCAGTTGGGTGAAAAATCAGTTGAAGGAAGCTTTTTCCTCTTCCTTTTCCCAACCCCTTCTTTCTGAGAACCACTTGGTTGGCAATTTTAGATAAACAACACAGGGAAGCTGCACCCAAGCATTTGCATTCTACACATTAAGTTATTTTGTTACTTTGACCAATACAAGAAAAAGCAGTCCAGTCTGTCAGACTGGTTTCAAGTATTTCCAAATCAGAATTTGTTCCCGAATTGGTATGCACAGATACCAGAATTCAGGCAGGCTGGGTGAGCCTTGGGACTCTGCAGTTATCAACCTACACATAACAAGATATACTTCACAATATTTCCCAGAACTATTTGTTCTGTGTACTTCCTTGCCTCCTGCCCCAGAAAAAAAAAAAAAAAAAACCAAACACACCACTTGCTTCAAAATCTCTTTCAGGTTTGATTTCTCAGAGACAAATCTTTTCTTCACTCCAACTGTCACCTCAATCATTAACTCTCCCTTTCTTTAACAGTATGAGCATCACAGCTACACTAACATATTTTAAAACACGTAAGGAAAGTACAGACTTTAACAAGTCCAGATCACTTATCTGCCCAATAGTCCCCATGTGTATATTGTCTGTTGTAGAAAATTTAATTCTAAATTCACCTTCAATTTTTTCTTTAAACTACCCTGGCTGATGCTACGGATAACAGAGGAAAGGAGAAGGAATTCTCTTCCATCTAAATACATCTTCAGATACGCCAAATTATGAAAAATCCACTCACTTTTTTCATTTACAAAACCACATAATTAACAGATCAGTAAAGGGGGCTAAAATGGATTGTGATGTCAGAGAAAAAAGCAAGAGTGAATCACATCAGACCTGCTGTGATTTGTGGCAGAGGAAAAGCAACTACTGAAATTTTTTTTCAAAGTGCTGAAGTATTCAGTCTGTGCAAAGAAAAAAAAAAAAATGTTGAGTAGATCTGTTAAATATACCCACCTGAAAACAAATGAAAGGAATAAATGAAAAGAGCAGTATAGAATTACGGCCTAATTCAGGCTGACACAGACTGAAGAGGTACCTGTTGGAGGAAGAAAGGGTAACTCCTACAAACATAGTACACGTAGAGTAAAAGTGATAGCAGATGCCGGACACTGAGGTACCAAGAGCTTTAACTTGATTAGAATACTAAGATTTCTGATTGGATCAAAATGTCATCTCAAGAATGGCTTAGGAGATGCATACAGTAGAAATAGTCTGGTGCTGGAATCAGGAACAACATGAGGTAGAAAGGCTGCAGAGGGATTCCAAAAGCCTGGTGGAGCTGGGAGTCTCAGAATTTCCAGCAGCTCCTTCAGTGATGACTTTAGCTTCAAACTTCTCATAGAACCACAGAATAATCATAGAATAGCCCAGGTTGGAA